CCAAGCCAATTTGATAGTAAGTTCTTCTGTACAAATCCATGACAATTGTTTATCAAAAAGACTTTCTGGAAGTTATTTTTATCTTCTCATATGTAGCATTAGTAGTAATGAAGTGATGAAATGTACTAGGATTAAACAAAGCCTGTTACAGGCGAACAAATGAGCGTAGATCTACTTCCACCAATCAGTACGCGTATGAGCCCACAAAAGCCATCTAGCAGGTATGATGAAACTTATCAGGTTCGAGCTCCACTAATCATTCAGAAATGCTCAAACCTCGTTGGCAAAGCCACCAAGCAATTGGCAGGAAACTAAGATAGATTTGAATGACGAAAAATTGATGCAACTAAAAAGTAGCATTGAAGAAAAAGAAGAAATCGATGTACTAAAGGTTCCTGAAAGTGAGTCGCCAATTATTAAGAGCAGGAGGGACAAAGTAACATTTACAGCTCAACCGAGTTCCATCACTGATTCACCGGCGTCCACAGCATCATCGACATCAGCAGTCGAGGTCACCGAAACTGCGAAAACTGACGTGACAGCGGCGGAAGAAAATGAAACTAGTGAAGCAACAGTCGCGACAACGCCTGTATACAAGAAAATCGACGAAAAATCATCGGAGGACATAACTATGGGTAGGCAAGAAGTGCCGAATGCAGTCGATATGAGGAGTCATTTACATTTATTGCAGTTAGCGATCTCTCTCGTCTGACATTCCCCAACGAAGTTTTCCCCAAGTCTAGCGAGAAAAAATTGGCTCCATCGACCCGGCTGAAGATCTCCAAAATGGAATTGGTCTGTGGAAATCTCTCAGGCTTTCGCATTAGAAGGTCAATCTCTATCATTTCAGCCTTTGAAAGCTGGCGTATCCGCAGACGATTTTCTCTTCCTGCGTCCGGTGAATTCAGAGGGACACCGCCGTTCACCGCTTCGAACTTACCGCCCGCATGTTGTGAGCGTACAGCTATTGGATGAGTAGGCTCATCAGAGTTTGAAGATTTGGCTTGGATAGAGCTTGCTCAGCTGCTTCGTAGCCTAGCCAGCAGTTTGAGTAGCAAAACTGCTAAGGGAGTTCTCGTTTTCTGTTATCTGGTGCATGATTTGGTCAGATTTTCTATGTCACTTCTCCAGAATCTACTGTTGTTGTTCTCACTGTACCGGTATTGTTGTCATGTCATTAAACAGACATGACAGTAGAATTCTAATAAAAATAACAGTTAATTTGCAACACATCTCTGCTCATACTAAGAAATCAAGTTCCATGTATGAAGCTCGTATTAGATTTCATTTCGATGACAAACTACCTTAACAAAGATTGCTGACTGCTAAGTGAAAGGACATGCTCTAACAACAACTGCTTCGTAGAGGACGAGTAATGGGACATTAGTCCAAGAAGGAGAACTTATAT